TAAGCAACGGGTTTTTCTATTTTTATTTTAGCGCCTCTTTCTTCTCCACAGCAATCCAAACTGGAAAAGGCAGACATCCTGGAGATGACGGTGAAACATTTACAGAACATCCAGAATAATGCACTCAATGGTGAGGAAGTTTTGCCTTGGTTTTGACACGTGTGGTTTCACGTTTATTGTTTTTATTGTTAAAAAGAACAACAAAAACATTATATTTTACTATATTTTCTGTAAAAAGGTTTCACTATGTTCGCTTGTAATAACTTAGAAAAATGTCCAACGAAAACAATCTGAGCTACAGCCACACTACTATTAGGCAGCAGGGGGCAGCATAGGCACTTTACTAATAGCCCTTTAAGCCCCAAGTATACAATGTTCTTTTTCTTAGTTTATTGTTTATTTCAAGCCAGTAGGAAATCAAATACAGCACGATATTATGTATTGTTTTACATTTGGGAGGAATAAAATAGAATAAATATAGTGTAAAATACAGGAAGAAAAAAAAACATTCTTGAAAAAGAGTGGAATGAAGACAAACTTTTTCACTCTCACCTTTTGATTTAATTTCTTCATAAATTATGTGTTTGCTGCCATGTACTGCTTCATAACTGTTTCTGTCTTATCAACATAGTATTTTACATCAAAACCAGTGCACAAAAATAAATCATCATATGCAATATATCAGGGGTGGGCAACTCCAGGCCTCGAGGTCTGGTCTCCTGCAGCTTTTAGATGCATCTCTAATTCAACACACCTGAGTCAAATAATGAGGTCATTAGCGGAACTTGACTGCACTGCGGAGATGATTCAGCTGTGTTGGACCAGGGAGACATCCAAGAGTTGCAGGACACCGGCCCTCAGGATCAGGATTGCCCACCCCTGCAATATATAGTTATCATAGCCGTAACATACAAATATTCATCACTGAGCCAATCAGATCCTCTGTCAGCAGCCATTATTGTAACCAACCATTTCTTTATCTTGGTGTAAATATTTATACATTGCTTGAGGTTCCCAACTTATAACAACACACACCTGCAGTTCATTTTACTACTTGTGAGGTGTAATAAATGGATCTTCCACCAGAGGGCAGGATTCGATACAACAGGATATTGAGGAATATATTTGTGTAGATAATGTGACAAATATTTTTTTAGATATACTTTTTTTTATTTAGTCAAGCATATTGGGGTTTTATATAAATGTGACACTGAATGCTCATTGCAGCAATGTTTTTTCTGTCTCTTTCTCATGCAGACTCAGCGTCGGGCCTGGAGGCCCAGCAGAGATACAGCACAGGCTACATCCAGTGCATGCATGAAGTCCACAACATGCTCCTCACCTGCGACTGGATGGACAAAACCCTCGGCTCCCGGCTCCTCAACCACCTTCTCAAGTCCCTTCCCAGACCCAACAGAGAGCCAAGCCGCCCCACACAGAGGCAGGACGTGTCTCTATTGACCAGCCAAGGTTTCCCTGCATCACCCCTTCGCAGGGACGCCCTGGCTGGGTGGCAGCGTCAGAAAGAAGGTCCACCCGGTCAGGTTGCTGAGCTTCAGGAGAGGCCAGGACTCCACAGTTCACACCTGGGGATGCTGGAGATGTGGAGGCCGTGGTGAACTGGTGGATTGACGATCTTAGTTGTCCGTTTTGTTAGACCATCCTCTGTTATGTATCTTATAGATATTCAGAAGATAAAAAAGTGGGGCGGTTTTGTTCCAGTGCTTTTAGGTGTGCTATGATGATTCAGACCTTTTCTCAGTACTTCCCTAAAGAAGTGGATTTCTTGTAGCCTGCATTATAGAAGGCTCTTATTAATCTTTCCTTAATTTATTGTATTAACATCTATTTATTTCTTAATATATGGCATAATTTTGCTTCTTTGACCTGTTGTTCGATGTTGCATAGATTTCTGTCTGCATTTCTTTACTATTTAACCTAATCATTAATATTAATAATAATAATAAAGTCTTTTACTTACTCATTAAAAGCTTAATCGACTGTTTTATTTATCTGCAATTGTTCTTGTGTGTCGACAATAAGACTTTGCAAAAGGACATTGGATGTATCGCAGAACGTCGTCTTTGCTGATTTTTATTGATACATTATTTTAAATCTATACTAAAAATGCATTTTATTTTAAAGTGCAGTCACTTTTAGTTACTCTGAGACCCAACATGTGTCCTTACAGGGTATAAATGGACACACTGTTCCTTGGAAGACAAAAATGTACTTTTCCTGCATCCCTTTTTTGTCAATGCAGAATGTAATAAGACATGGTGTTAAAATGATGTATGATAATGTTAATGTCAGAGGGTTGTACTAATGCTTCCAGTTCACTAAAGCATTTAAGAGGTTGTTCACTAAATCTAAATTTAAACTTTTGCATTTCACAGGTGAGTGAAATGTTTACCATTGACCAAAATATTGGTGATAAAGTCCATATAAACAGGCTCCCTTTAATGTTATTTTTCAACCTTCTTGTCTTAATGTAAACCTTAGTTACTAAAAATCATCTTTTCGATTGAATACTTAACCTGATTTGTTGTGTTAAATCCAAAACTGAACCTGGTTCTGGTAAATATTTGTCCTCGGTTAGCAAAATACCCTTTACTTGTTTATTTTTAAAAAATAAGATGCGTTGCATTTAATACAGTGTAAACAATCAGATCAATAATGACTCTCTCAGTTCCTGCTTGAAATATTTTGTGGATTGTTGATGTTTCCCTGTTTCATAAAGTCATTTCTTTCTGTTCATCTGCTATGAATAATATTTTTAATTAAAGCATGACACTTCTGCTGTCTACAGTAAATTTATAGCTTTATAGCCAAGAGCATATCTTTACTAAAGGGTTGGTTAATGAGTCGTAATCGGATTTTATTTGCACTTTAGAACAAAGTTATCAGAGGATTTACGATTGACTGTTTTCTGCAAGGATTTCTTTCACATCAGTTGTGATGTGAAAGCATCTCCATTTGTACCCCATGAGTTCTTAGATTATTATTCTCTTGTTGTTGTTATGATTTCCCAGCGCATGCAGTCAGGTGGATGGTCCAAAATAAGAGGGAGAAAGGCGGAGAGGGGAAGGGAAGGGAAGGGGGGCGTCTGGTCCCTCAGCGCAGCTCCACAACAAAAGCAAGCCGAGACAGCTGCTCTCTCTCTCTCCCCTCTGCGCGCACCATTACAGCCCGGGAACAGTAATGTGGAGGTGGCGAGGTGCCAAAACACAGAGCTCCACTTCAAAAGTCTGCAGCGCTTCGGTCGGTTGTTTCCAGACGTTTTGCGCGCAAACTGGACAAATACTGTGCTGGTAAATATAGATAAATAAAATAAAAATAATAATAAAAAAAAAACGCACCTGGAAAACGAATTAATTCATTTACCTGCATGGCTTCACAGTTGCTTGCTGTCTTCTTTTTTTCCAAACAGACGGCTCTCCTCCATTATGGGGACGATTAGCATGATAATGGTGTGTACAGAACATGTATAATAAGGAGGGCAGAGGCCTGAGGGGCCTCGTTGGACAGAAACAAATAGACACTGTGCGTAAGGACTATCCAGACGCAGTACCGCACACATTTAACCCAAAAAAAATAAAAAAGAGAGAAAACAATAACATGCTATAAATAATCTGCAGGGTGCTTAATTTGAACAGGACGTCTTCATATTTGTCACTGCACTTAGAGACACTGAGTCGCGGTCAGTGGAGCAGGTTATCAATAAAAATCATCTCTCACGCGGCGGGGGGCCGGGGGGGGGGACTACGTGAGAAAGCCGCTGCGCTCGAACACGAAGACACCAAACAACAGAGAGAACAAACGAGGCGCAGGCCAACACCTGTCGCTTTCTTTTTTGGAGAAGGGCCCTTAATTCCCCCGGCTGATTCAGTTCTGGCCGAGGGGCCGCCGGCAGCAGCTGCCAACTGAAGGCATCGAGTTACATCCGCCAAACAGCGGGGTGGATCTGCTGAGGCTCAGGCAACAACGCCCAGCGCAAACTGAGGCGGGAGGGCAGCGAAAATGATGCACACTAATACAGATATTGAAACTTTAAAAGAAATAAAGTTTCACACTGTGCTTCACTGTCTGAAGGACAGTGTGCATCTCGGTCACTATTGGATACAGAATCCCATAATAATAAAACTGAATCAACCTGTGTGTGATTCAATCTTGGCATAAATCTGTCCACAATACCACTAATTTCTGCTGGACTTTTACATTAAATCCCAATTAAATACATTGAAATGTGATGGGGAAAATGGAAAAAACGTTGAACACAGTTAGTCCAGTGGAGTTAAAAACTATTGAACATCCAGAATATACTAACAGAGGTGGTTAGACTAACCACAAACTGTACTCAAGTAAGAGAAGCAAAATTTGTTTCAAAACTAGAAACATGAAATACTAATATTAGGGTATTTAGCTACTTCCAGTCACAATAGTGTTCACGTTGCTTAATCAAAGCCAGTCAGCAGGTAAAAAATAATTTTAGATCAACAAATCTGATTCCAAATCTGATTCCACTACATTGCAGTTACTCTTAGTAGGCTATGTCGAAATTTGACTTTAGTAAGCGATGCTTCACCATCAACAGCTGTTAAGACACAAGTTGGTCCATATAAAAGCACAAATTAAAATATAAATAAATCATTTAGGAAAAGAGATATTAGTCAAGTAAAAAAAGTAAGGTGTAGTAAAATGCTTCTAAGATTTTCTAAAAGTTACTCAAATAAATATCACTGAGTAAATGTAACTTGTTGTCACGCACCTCTACAAACAGTAATTGACTCAGTGCATTCTTTATCTTATGCAGTGGATTTAAAGTGGCAGCTGCTCATTATGGGGGAATAACTGCGCGGCCGTTCCCCTAACCCAACATATTGTGTGATTAAAGCCGGTCCATCTTCTCGGGGCTCTCACCGGGGTTGACCACGGACAAAGGAGCTGATCGCTCATTGGCTGCGGCCGTGTGCGCTCTGTTGGCCCCCAGCGCCTGCAGCTCCAGCCTCTATTCACATGTTAATAAGCCCCTATAAATACCAACAACAGCCAGTCAGCGCCAGCAACACGACACACAGGGGTGGTACAATAAACACAGGGCGCCTCGCCTGCTTTTCTCCCCTCCTGCGTCTGCCTGCAACCGGTTCTGTTCGCCAGCTGCCCCCCTTTCACGGACGACACAGAAGTGGAAGAAGCCACAGACGCGGCGTTCCGACCAACATGGCCCCCGCTGCCCGGCCCGGTACCGCCGGACTTTGCATGGAGGAGGACGAGTCCTGCTACGGGATTCAGAAAGCGGACAGAAAGGTGCGGCAATGATGGTGTGGCGCACTTGTCACGCTGCGTGCAGAGACAAGGGGATGTTTTACTAGATTTTTAAGTTGATTGCGTTTATATTCTAAATAAATGTAAATGCTCGTTTTTCTTTCTGGTATCCTTTAGATCAGGAAACCTTTGGTGGAGAAGAAGAGACGAGCTCGCATCAACGAAAGTCTGCAGGAGCTGCGGACTCTGCTGGCGGATACAGACGTGAGTATGCGGCGCACACGTTGGACCGCAGTATCTTACTGCAGGCCAGTTTATTTCGTGGAGATGATCTGACTTTTACTTCCCATTTCCATAGCTCCATTCCAAAATGGAGAACGCAGAGGTTCTGGAGATGACAGTGAAGAAGGTGGAGGATGTTCTCAAGAACAGGTCTCTAGGTCAGAACCAAAATTATTCACCTTTTAGCAGGATGAGAGTTATAGAATGACACTGTTTTTATACTGCTGTGATGCTGAATAGACAGATTTTTTTTCTGAAGAAACTGAGTCATATCAGTTGTGATAGAATGTATTGATCATTTTTGTATTCACATACCACTGAAAATTTCTTGATTATCGGCCCATGTTAATCATTTGAGTTGACATGATAATAGACTTATTGGGAGATATTTTATCATAAATAGTATCAAAGAAACATCAGCTAGATCGTTGATATCTGAGCTCTTTAGTTCAGTTCAGACATGAGAGTCTTTTATAGTTTCTATATCTGTTTAAAAGAGTAAAAGGCAATGATAAACATTATTTAACTGCTTTAAATAGAGATTACCCTGGGGAAAAACCTTTTTTTCTTACTAAGCAAAATCATAAGCATAGAACATTTCTGGAGGATTGCAAACTCCTTTACTATGTTTTTTCAGCAACTTGCTGCACTGACATGTTTTAATCAAACCTAAGATAAAACTGTAGATCAGAAACCCTGACCAGTTCATTTGTCAAATAGTTACGATGACATTTTATTTATTGTTGTTTCATTTTTGATTCAAAGACATAAAAACAAACATGGAATAAACTCTGTGAGTTTTTAAATTGTCTTTGCACTTTATGTTATCCCTTTTGACTGGTTTGCTTTTTGGAAGAGTCACACTTTTTATTATTTTCCCACATTACTATTAGATTTTTATGTGATTGGATCCATCTTTAACTAGCCAAATCTTACTGTTAGGCAGTCTATTGTCAACCTGCTGGCCTGCAGTGCGTAGCACCATCTAAAGGAGGGACAGCAGTGGTATTCTGTTCATCCTGGTACTTTGTTTGGCATTTCATTAAAAACACTTTAGACAACAGCAATGATGTAATAGAAACTAGTTTGTGTTTTTTCTAATTGATCAGTTTATTGCATGCAGAGCCGGGCTGCAGCAGTTCTGTAATGAAATTTCCTTTGCCTCTCCTCCCTCAGAAGCCGACGCACTCAGCCGGGAAGCCAGCGAGAGGTTTGCAGCCGGCTACATCCAGTGCATGCACGAGGTCCACATGTTTGTGTCCAACTGTCCGGGCATAGACGCCACGGTGGCGGCCGAGCTCCTCAACCACCTGCTGGAGTGCATGCCACTGAACGAGGACCACCTCCAGGACGTCCTGATGGACCTGATTACGGACACTCCAGGGACAAACGGCAGCACTTGGCTCGGCGCCGCTGAGGGGCCCTGCCCGACCCCGGCCCTTTCCAACTCGTCCAACGATGAATTGAGCTCGGACCTGGACGAGACGGACAGCGAGCACAACCAGAGCTCGACGGAGGGAGCGGAGAGAGGGGAGGCCCTGAGCATGCCCACTGTTACATACCCTCAGAGTATGTGGAGGCCTTGGTAGGAAAGGTCTGTAGCTGCAGCTGGGATCTGCTGGAAACAGGAATTGTGGGATTTTATTAATGTGAAGCGCCACTGCGCCTCCTTCAGAAAGAGAAAACTCCACCCTACAACACATGAGCACCATTTGCTGCTGAAGCCTTTCTGGACTTATTTAACCAATTCAAGAACTGCCAACTGACATGCACTGAAAGTCTTAAGATGATCGCCCCGCTCTGATTTCCATTTCTATTAACGGGACCAAACCTGGCTTCTGTGGACCTGGATCTATTCGCTCTTATTGAGGTGCAGCTACTGTACATCCATTCTTCTGCATTCTGGGAAGTGTAGAAGTTTACTAAATAAATTACAAGGTTAAGCAGAGGGAGCAACATTTGACCCATAAACACACGTATAGTTCTTTTGGAAATCACAAAAAAAAAAAAACAAAGAACCTAATAAGTGCACTAAAGGGTGGAGTTTTTCCTTTTTCTTATCAGCAGGGCCCCAATTCTTGTGGGCCACTGCAGCTTGGGACCTCCTGAAAGGACTCTCCCCCTTCCTTCCTCAATCCTGACACCCTGGCTTTGAGTACTCTCTTAAGACTTCTCTTCACACCTGGAGGATAAAAGAACGTCCCCTCTCAACACTTAGAACCCAACAAAGGACAGAAAAGGACCAGTTGAAGGCGGTCACACTTATTCTGTGTGTAACTGTGTACATGGAGTTTGGATGAGGAGAAAAGCTCTTTTTAGCACCTGAGAGGTTTGGCAATGCCTCTGATTAATATAAATAATGGTATTTCGTGTATTGCTGTAGCTTATGAGACACATAGCCTCTTTACGTTGTAACAATGTTTAATTAAATGTCTGAATTTGCTGAATAAAATAATGTAGCTGAAATACTTTTGGCTGATGTAGTGTGAAACTGAACCAATGCACAAAATATGTGTGGCAATTCTAAGAACTTTTCAGATTTTGTCACATAAGAAAGACAGAATTTGGTGTGTTTTATTTGGATTAAGTCAACACAAACTAGTTCACTGTTGGGAAAATTAGCTTGAAGGATAGGTCTTAAAACGTTTCAAAATAAAAATCTGAAACATGTTTTTTTTTTTTTTGTTGCAATTTTTGCTTTAAACCTCTCCATGCACAGTCAGTCAGTATGTTCAGGTTGTCCTATTGAAAGGTGAAACTCTGTTTCAGTGTCAAGCTGAACAAAAGCAGCCCCACATCATGAGGCTTCTCACACCTTGTTCCACTTGTAAAACTGTTTATTTATCTTGAGCTGAAATTGGTTTTCTCCCATGTATAGCATCATCAATATGGGCCAAAAAGTTACATTTTTGTCCTGTCTCACTGGGGTTTTCTTCCTCTGCATGGCTTGTGGCATCAAAGCGGACTTTCTGTCACTTTTGCTTTTCTAGCAAAAATGACAATCTGGTCAACCTTGCTCCACCTGAGCTGTAATTATGTGCAGCTCCTCAAGGGACAACATTGATCTCCTAGCTGCTTCTCTTAACATTGCTCTGTCAGGTTAGGTGACTTGCAATGACTTCTAGTTTTATCTTCCAAATTTCAGATGATCAATTGAACAAAACTTAATTGGAATATTGTATAGAAAAACCCTGCTTTGAATTTTAAAGCACAATGTTCTCAGTGATCTACCTGCTGTGTCCCTCGGTCTTTACAATGCTGGGTTTTTTTTTTTATGTTCTCTGACAAATTGCTAAGACTTTCACACAACAGCCGGATTTACATTTAGATAAAATCTTACAGAGCTGGACGCTTAACTGACTATTAAAGGTAACTGGTTGTACTGGGTGTTATTTACCAACACTACAGTAAATGTATATGCACATTATACCTATTAGATTATTATTACTCAAAAATCATGAATACCTTTCCTTTCTTTTTACAGTTTTGCATCACTTTGTGTTGGCCGCACAAAATCTCATTACAATACATTGAAATTTGTGGTTGCAGAGCAATAAAATAGGATAAAGTTCAGTGGGTTTGGTGAGGTTCATTTTGCAAGGTAGAGTAAACTCAAGTGTTTCGACTAGGGGTCAGCAAGTTCAGTCCTTGAGTTCCTGCAGCGTTTGGATGCATCCCTCCTCCTCCACACCTCAATCAAATGAATGGTTTAATAATCTGCCATCTGCAAAATCTGTGAACACTCTAAAGAGGTAAGTTATTGGAACAGGGATGCATCCGAAAGTTGCATTTCTTGAGGATTTTAGTTGCTAACCCCAAGTTTAATCTGAAAAACAGTTCAGGATTTAAACTTCTCTTTTTTGGCTTTTTAACACATCAAAACACTTTAAGTTGTTCAAAGTGCGCTCCCCAGCATGATGCATGCTGAAATAGTCGCACCTCCTCACAAGTGTTTTTAGTCTCACCCCTGCTACAATGAACGTTAACAAATTCCTGTTACATCCTGTCTGGACCAGTGGTGGTCCTCACAGCACTGCGGCCCCTTTCTCCTGACTCCAGGTTAGGTAGTTTACTAAATAGCCAGCCAGGCTTCACCTCTTAAAAACCCTTAGGAACCATCTTTTTCACAATGTACTTGTGATCATTATTCAGTTAGCAATTGCATATAAAGAATTTTGTTTAATATCTGATGGCCTTGTGAAGGGAACAGGATAATTAGTTAACAGTGAAATGGGTGGAGGCTGGAGGATCCGGGTGTGAAAGTGGAAGGAAACGCTCATGATTGGGATCAAAGTCAGTGGGTTATGTGTGACAGAATAGCTTCAAAGTCAGAGAAGGACAGTAAAACATTACAGTTCTTATTTAAACGGATCAAGTTCTCTTTCTTACCTTCTTTCTTTCTCATATCTATATAAACACACCTTCCTTTTGACCTTTATCCCAGAAATAACAGGCATGTAAAAATATAAAAGCATAGGCAAGTTTCTATTCCCGGTCAACAACCAAAAAGTTGTCCAGGCTTTTTCAATTGTTATAGGGTCATTTTGATGTGCTGAATCCAAAAATCACATTGGTTTTGCTCAATCAGATCAACCTTCTGAGCTCTGGATGCATCTGAATGCAAAACTTTTTCTCAGAAACGGATCAGTTTCCTGAGAATCTTGGATCAATGAATGATGAGCAGGAGGAGAGATTCCATCAGGACCTACAGACATGGAGAAGTTTACACAGTGAAGACTTAATGTTCAATTCACATGTATCTAGCCTCATCAGGGTTTAATTGATCAATTTACAGAAATCAACATTTGTAACAGCTGTATTCCAACTGTCAAAAAACAATGTTTTTCTCTTAAAGCATTTTTTGGATGATAAATATTAACAGAAATGAACTAAAAACGTCACAAAAATGTAATCAATATAGTGAGAAGATTTGAATTCTCTAAATCAAATTAGAATTAAAAACCTGACATGATTGAGAAAAATGGATGTCATCTTTGAATTCAGTGGTGCACAAAGGTCCTAATTCAGATGAAAAAACATTTCCAAAAACTTCCAAAAAATAGTTTTTGAAACCCAGTGTTATGCCTGAGTGTGAAAGTAGTCCAACAGAATCTCAAAAGTGCAAGAATGTTGGCAAAACTCTTTTTTTCAGCTGAAATGGAACATATAATTTCTTAAGTACACCAAAAGTGTAACAACTTCATATAATCAAGAAATTTATAAAACCAAAATGCCAAAATGTTTCACTTCATTATTACATTACATTACATTATAATAAAAATAATCTAAAAATTGCACAAGAAGCCCTGGACTGTGGGAAACTTTGCTCCATCAGACCCCAGCACATCGCTACAATCTGCTCACTTCAAGTGACCGATGAAAATCAGAGAAGTGGGGAGAACTTCTGAATCCAGCCCATCAGCTGTGAGTTTGTGAGCGAGCATCTGAAGTGTGAGGTTGAAGGTCAGCGCAGTGCAACAGTTGGAGTGGTGGTAGGGAGGGGTTTAGCAGCAGAGCAGCATATGGTGCTGAAACAGATCCCCAGGGGATATCCGGCCATCCTTGGGTGCTTCTCAACCGCCATTGACTGTGAGAGAACAATGGCCTTCACTCAGGACTCAGCACCTGCATCTGCAGACCGTTCACCAGCTTACTGCTTCTAAAAAGACGTTATCGTTATCTTCTCTGCTCCATTTTCCACAAAATTATTGACAATGTCTTCTGTGCACCAGACATGCTCACACGAGTTACCTTGTTCAAACCTGTCCTCTTGCATGAAGTACTGTTAAATTGAATTACAAGTCATACATCTTGTTTTTTCACTGTATGAAGTTAAACCAGGATAATTCTTATTTCTCATATTCAATTCACTGAACAGCACACAAACCATTTTTAAAACGTCATCCTACAGCTCTCAAAGGCATATTTTAAGTGAGTCAACAAGGTCTATGACAAGAACATTATGCTTAAAATGAAAATTTGCATCAATATAGCATGCTTCATTGCTGATACGCTGATATTATCAGTGGCAGGCAGGCTGTGCATGGATTTCTAATTTAAGGTTTTGCTGTTCAGTGTATTTGTAACAAGGTATGCTATTAATTACAGCATTTTTCTTGTTTGAATATACAGTAATTTTTGAAAAATGCAGACATTTCCTCAGGAATTATTCTTCCAAAGAAACGTCGTCAGACTGCATGAGATGGGAGGCGCTCATGCGCCACCTTGTGGTGAACTTAGTGCAGACTTCGGAGCATATATGCATCCTTTGGCACCAACAAGGCAGTTCAGAGTAGTTTACATCAGTCATTAATTAAACATCACATTTCAATAAAATGCTTATAGAAATCAAGCATCCGAAAACACATTTTCTTTGATAGCATGGAAATTCTCCACAAACTGCATCAATACTGTTTTAAATGTTTCCACTTTCATTGTTTTATAGGCTTCAACACGCACAGCTGAAAAATGTATCCATTTGTTTTAATTCTTCTAATTAAAATATAATATGTCTTGTCAGTCCTGTCCCAAAAATATCACAACTAGAATGTTTTCTTTTGTGGATTCTTGTGTTTAAATTTGATTTTTGGCTACATCAATTTCACAATAGAAAGGTTTTTCTTCTATGTGTATACCCATATGTCTGTTCACATCACCTGTCACCCTTCTTTAAGTTCATATCATGAAGAAAAAAAGAAAGTGGATCTAAATAACCTTTAAAAAATGGGCAACACACATACTGGTGTCAGTATTCATAAACTGCTGATCCACTGGGATTTTTCCCCACAACTATAAGAGGAGAATGGGAAGACTGTTTCAGCAGCTTAAAGTGTGTTGAGTGCCATCTCTGAACTCACAGCACTTTAAACCTGGAAGCAGACGGGCTACAGCAGCTGAAGTCCTTATCAGATGACCCTTCCTTATCAGATGTCCTTATCAGATGAACTGGAATTTGTTTGAGGTATTAACAGACATCTGTCTGTTTTCATTTCACTCTGTAACCCATTGACTCCACTGAGGGCAGCAAAGAGGATCCACCAGTACCTGCCAAGGCAAAATCCACTACAGGGACATCACCTGTCTTTGCCAAAGAGAGCGAGGAGAAATACTCTACCCATGCTTTGACTTGAAAGAGGGAATCTTGCACCAATGATGAAAATCATCTGATTGTATAATCAGACACATCGATTTTTCCACCTTGTTATAAAATGATCCACTGCGTGACGTTCCATTCCACCGTGTTTGAAAATGTTTTTATTAAATATTATTACAGAGACATTAAGTACTGGGAACTGAAGACCAATAAATGCACTAATTTTCTATGCTGTCAGTATTAATGGGTTAAAAAAAAAAAAACAAAAAAACACAGTTTTTTACAATGCAGACATAAATGATTCATAGCTACATGTTTTACAATTTCAAGAATAAAGCATATTATAAGTAAAAGGGACACACTCTTTTTAAGAAAACATCATTATTTATCAGAATTTACATGTTTAACTATTTGTGGTCTATATGAAACTGTTCCTAACAGGGTGGAACACATTCAGAGACAATTGTGGAAAAAAAACAAAAAAAACAAAACATGTAATTATTAATTTATGCAACCCTAAGGAGCCTCCTAGAAATATTGCTGCAAATTAAAAAAAAAAAAAGATTTTTTTTATTTGCATAAAAACCCAAATGTAAGACTAAGTTACATTAGAAAAGTTTTGCATTTTCTCTCACCAGTTGGTGGCGGTAAAGCGCCATTTAGTTGTTTGGTAACCGTCAGTAACTATCAAGAAGAAGAAGAAGAACTTAAAAAAAAAAGCAAACAATAATTAATATTTTTATTTATTTAATGTAAACAGTTATTATTATTTATATAAAAAAAAAGCAGAATAATAAGTATAGCAATAATACAAACAACAAGAACAACAACTCCGGATAGTTAGCGCCGTAGCACCGAGATGTTGGGTTAGTTAGGGTTAGGTTAGGCTCCTGATACCAAGATGGCTGCCTTGATGTGTGGAGCTGCGGTGTTTCCAGGGCTTTTCTTCAGCTTCAGGAAGACCTTAAGACACACCAGGACGGAGTGGGGCGAAGCCGACGTCACCGTTGTCAGCGAGAGGTCAGCCTCCTCACGAAGAGCAAGCTACACTTTCATGTTACAGGGAGCTGCTGCTAATGCTGTGAGGACTGAATTACTAATATTACAGGGAGAGAAGAGCTGTTGAAGTTTAGCTTGTGTTTCAAATGAAGAGCCTGGTTATGCTGGAACAGTCAGGCCACTTTATTAGGTACACTTGTACATCAGCTAATACCTGCAGTCCAACAGCTGTGGCATGGAGACTAAAGAGAACTTCTTTAAGTTCAAACAATAAATGAAAAAGAAGAGGAAAGTGGATGTAAATAACTTTTTCCTCAGACATGCTGGTGTTAGTATTTCAGAAACTGCTGACTCACTGGGATTTCAACCTACAACTATCAGAGCAGAACGGAAAGACTGTTTCAGCACCTCAGGGTGAACTGACAGCAATTTAAACCTTGAAGCCGACTGGCTACAGCAGCTGAAGAACTTACCAGATGTAAAAAGGCTCTCCACAACAATGCACAAGATGCCTGATGAGTCTGGAGCAGGTGCAATATTAAGATGGTAAGGGTTAGGTGTAAATAACATGAAAGCATGGATTTATCTTGGTGTGTGGATCTGATGTATGGAGGATGTGGTCCTCCATACAAGTGTACCCATCTTCTCATGGCCACTTCCAGCAGAATAATGCACCTCATCACAAACCTGAAATGTAGTTGATATGGTACAACAGGAAATTTACATCATGAATGTAACCATGAGAGTATTTTACTAAAATCTATGGGGGACAAAAATGGCAGTTTTCAAAACAAATGTGTGTCCAGCCTGCTGCTAGCAAAGTGTAACAAATAAAGTGGCCTAACTGAATTTGGAAAACAAATTCACATTAAAAATAAATAAATAAAAACATGCATCAAATTTGTTCGTACTCTATACTGTTCATTTCCTTGACTAACTAGAGTAACTAACTAGAGTATAAATGGAAAATTGTTCAACTTTTCTTTGATTCTCCTAATTATTATTCAGTAATCAAACCTCAACAGGACTCGAAGGATTTTAAAGTCAACATTTATAAAGAATAATAAAATTTTCAAGCTTGATTTGAACGTGCAGAGGCTGTTCCAGTTAAGTTTTTCAAAAGAATGCAGGAATATTTTAGTTTCCAGTCTAAAATATCAGCATTAGGATTCAGTTTTACAGTGAGAAGGTCTGATGTGTTTCTACAGACTGATTTCTGCTGTCCATGGGTCGTTGGCCACTGCAGTTGGAGTCACAGTTGTTTCATCTTGCAGGGATGTGATGACTGACAGGTGAAGAACTCTGAATGAGCTGCTGGTACATTTTCATTGCAATATAGGAAAAACAATCGAGTTAAAATGCTTCATGTCTCACAATGTACAGGCACTGGCTGGTGAACAGTTTTGTCCTGTTTGGAGTTCCTTACATGGTGTTTGACATCTACACCATGTATCTGAGCCACTTTCACACTGAGAGGAGTAGAACTGGGTCCGAATCTCCCAGTGGACACTCGCTGCAGACGGTCAGAGCTTTCCTTCGCAAGGACTGGATGCTGGTTCTCCATCACATGGCCCTGGTTTTTATTTTCACACCAATCACACTGGTGAGATCAGTGAGGAAACAGTCGTATTCATTCAGTCGAACCTCAGCCGTCATAGATTTTCATTCATTTGGAAAATTTGTCACAGATCTAAAATCAATAACTTTGAGTGAGATTCTTCTAATTGTTTTGATGCAGATCTTCACTGTTTGGAAATATTTCTAGATCATCAAACAGTTCATTTAGGTGAAATATTCTTTGCAACATAGTCTTTATAGGCCAGATTAAATCCTGATGTGAAATGATGAAGGGAGCAGATATTTATGACTGAAAAGAAATGCTAAGTTGATTATTGACTGCATTGTGCCTGTTTTCAGTTTTTCAGGAGAGGTTTGGGGGATTTCTTTATTGGCTGCATGCTCATCACAGAGCTCAGCACTCCCTTCGTCTCCATAGGGAAGATCCTCATTCAGGTGAACAATGAAGGAAAAACATGATCTCATTCCCAATCTTTGCATCACATCTTGATAGATTGCCCCAGTTTTTTCACTCGCATGTTTCTGTTCATCTGTTTGTTTACACACAGCTGCGCCTCGAAGGCACCAAGCTGCATGCAATCAACGGCCTCATTGTGCTACTGACCTTCTTCACGTGTCGCATCCTCCTCTTCCCCTTCATGTACTGGATGTACGGCCGGCAGTTCGGCATTCCTCTGCACCGAGTGGCCTTCCACCTGCCTCTGCACTGCAATGTGGGGAACCTGGTGCTGCTGGCTCCACAGATCTACTGGTTCACCCTGCTGCTGAGGAAAGCACAGCGACTCTACCTGAGGCAGAGGAGGCGGCAGGTAGACGAAGATGTGTCGAAGAAAGACTGAGGAACTCGTCTTGCTGTATATATCACTGTTAAATGAACAGTATCTGTTCATTTAAGACACGGGGACCAGAAGTCATGGCTTCTGTGCCTGGTTTTACTAAAGATTTATTTGTACTGAAACAAATAAATCTCATTTACAACAAAGTATTAAGGCCAGTTTAAGAAAAAACTAAAAATAACAAGAACAAAGTCAAAATCATAAGAATAAAGTCATATTCTGAAAATAAAGTTGTAACGTTACCTGAATAAAGTTGTAGTAAGCACATAAGCATCGGATTATTAATCAGTCTAAACATTTTATTTGTTTAACTGTAAAACCAGTATCAAAATATAATTCACAAGATGCTTAAAATTCTCATTTAACTGCTTTCAAAAGTTAAAGTTCTCATAATAGACGACCTTTATTCTGGTAACATGACGATATAATTTATTTTTCTTAGTCTGGCCCTAATATTCCATCATAATCTGTCATCGGCATCAGGGCAATGGAAAACCATTTACATTATGGTAACATAATTACAATATACATTACAAGATTATTTGATCATGTTGATCAAATAAATGTGTTCAATAAGCTGCTCAGTGGTCATTTTTCTCAGGTAGACTGGTTACAAACTTGAAGACATGCTAATGCTAACGAGAGGGCACATGTCCTCATGTTTAAATTTTTTTCAGTCTTTTCTACAACTACCACCATTTTTGCCTGTGAAAAGTTTATATATATTTTTAAGTGATTCAGTTGAACCATAATTCAAAACCCATTTTCATTTGTTGATTTTCAGTAAATTTTCTTAATTACTTTTGTCTGTTTCAAAGTTATTTCAGAGGCCTTAGTAGGATTTTTAGTCATTTACGGAGGGCCACAAACAGTTTTTTTCCCCATGTTTTTACCATCAAATTGAGCTTTCTGAAAATGTTTTCATCCATCCATCTTCTGCCGCTTATCCGAGGTCGGGTCACGGGGGTAGCAGCCTAAGAAGTGTTTTCAACGGCCCAGAAAATTATCAAAAAAAAACACTGGTGGATGTTTATGTTACAGTTTAAAAGAGCCAACCTTGCTGTATATATCAAGAATTTTTCCCTGCTATACTAACCTTATTTTCATATCTCCTAACAAAAATAATGAACAGATCATATCTTTGCACTAGAAAATAACATTTATTTACTAGAGTTCAGTTTTTACACCTGAGTAAAGTGCGCATTCTGATATTCAACGCATGTCATTATTTCGTAAAAATCTTCAATCAGCAGGTCGTCTCTAGTAGGAAACATGCACAGAGTGTCTGTTCAAGCTGCAGACGACACAAGCTGAGCAATCTTCTGCTGGAGCACTGCCTTCATGTGCTGGTTGCTCAGGTTGTCTGTGATGGTGGAGAAGAAGTGGCGTGTGTTGTCGCTTTCCGCGTGGCTGCAGCTGTCTGGGAAAGCCGCCATGACGGCCTCGTAGTGACTGAGGATCTCCAGGCTGCATAGGAACAGAGGCTCAGACTGGCCTCCTGGCATCATCACCTGCAATGAACAAATGTATGTCAAATCTCAATATCTTGGATAAGATATTTCAGGGTGCACACATTAAAGACGTGCTTTTAATTATCTTCATCCTGTTATGATCTTGTAACAATACCGTCAAGTCCCTTTGCTCAATAAACTTTAAGAAGTATCCATAAATTCCTCTTTCCATTATTATTTATGCTTCTGTAAATACTGCACAGCTGTGTGACATCAACATTCTTGTTCTGTGCATGCAGGTTGCTTTGGGAACAAAAACCGTTCACACAGAGGTGTCGCTGCGGTCACATTTAATTAGCAGTAGAGAGAGAAACAATGTAAATCAGTAAAGAAAAAAAATGGAATTGAGCAGTAAAATCTGCTTTGTGATCAATTTATCTCCAAGCTTTATCAGATATCTGCAGCCATGTCTGAAACTTCATAATCATTAAAAGCAGATTTTCCACACCAGACCTTTGCTGCAGCTATGTTGTTGGTGTGCTGAGGTAAAATCCAAATATAATTGTTTAATTCCTACCTGGATGTGCTGTATGTGGCAGAAGAGCTGGCTGAGAACGAAGAGGACCTCTTGGCTCGGAGCTGCAGCCTCCTCCTCCATGTGAGCATCTTCTGACTCCTGAGGAAAATCTTCTGTATATTTCACAGGATTATGATTTCTTTTAACAGCTTTAACAGACAGATTTAACTCTGAGGAATCAGGAGCTTTAGGACACTCTAAAGAAGAAGAATGAAGAGGCAGCTTGGCTTTCACACAGTTCATCATGTCCCTCACAGCATGGGCGTACAGCCTGCAGGTGTGGGCCCAGCCGTCAGAGGACAGCCAGTCGGAGCAGCTGGAGCCGCAGAGCAGCTGCAGGACTCGCAGCAGGAGAACCGACAGGCGCAGCTCGCATGAGAACTGCCTCAGGTCCAGGAGGGGCAGGAAGTCCACGTACTCCAAGGAGAACGGGACGCTGAGGCGAGCCGACGTGATCAGCTCCCTGAGGACGCCCAGCAGCCGCTCCCACTGGGAGACGGAGCACCAGGGGAGGGTCTGCGTCAGCACCACCAGCAGGCCTTTGCTGAACATGCTGACATGGTCGGGCCGGTGCTGGTCCAGAGAAAGACGGGACAGCATGGTGGACCGCAGGGAGTCGGACAGGGAGCAACACTCCATCCAGGCTAAAAGACCCGTTCCCTGGCCGTATTCAGGAAGGTCCAGGCCAGACCAGTCCTACAGGGGAGACAAGGACAGGAACATTGATACAGCCTGGTCCAAATATCCAAACCCTTTGATCATCTCAGTCTCTTACGTATATTTAATTAAGTCTAATTTATTTGAATAGCACATTTCAGCAACATGGCAGTTCAAAGTGCTTTACACCTTAAAAACATCCCAGTCACCAACTGAGAAACGATCAATAAATGTAACATTTTGTCAAATACTGTCATCAAAATAATCAATGCACATCAATTATATTGATCAATGTTCTAATTATTACTAATCAAAAGCAACGCTGAACAGGTGGGTTTTTAGACTTGACGTAAAGGAACTAAGTGTTTCGGCTGTTATGACGTTTTTTTGGAAGTTTGTGTCACTTTATGATTTCTTAGGCAGACATGTGAAGACACTGTTGCATTAATCGTTGTGACTAAAGATAAACACATGGATGAAATTTTCTAGAACTTGCTGGGACATTAATCATTCCATCCTGGAAGTATTCTTCAAGTTTCTTCTGAAGATTCAGACACTACACCCAAATTTCAGATGTTATTGACTTAAAACAATCTTCTGTGTCTTGTTGAAAAGTTAAATTTGTTTTATTTTGCACTAGAAATCAGGCCAAAAATACTTACTAATAAGTGTTTTTGCAGTGTGGACATGATATTCCTACCTCTTCAGGAAGGTCACAGACTTCCAGCAGAGAGGAGGGCACCTCGTTTTTAAAGTGCTCTCCCCACACTGGCGTCAGATGGAACCGAACGGTCCAATCCAACGCCTCGGTCTTGTTGTAGAGCCAGAACAGAGCTCTGGACCAGCTGCTGGGGGCTGCCTCGATCTCTGCCCCCACCAGCTGCCCCAGAGTGGTCAGCACTGACACCAGCAGCTCCTTCGTGTCCATGGAGCGTAGGTGGACGGCACCCTCTGCTGGCTCCTCCCAACATCTATCAGATGATTCATAATGAAGTTAAAATGTGGAAAAGTAGAAAATATAAAACATTAGAGACCACAAACACACCTGTAAGCCTGGTTGTAGAGTTGGGCCAAGACAAAGAGGAGGGGGAGTGGAGAGCACTTCAGCACCCAGTGAGGGGAAGGAGCTGCTTCTACTGACAGAGCAGCATGGAGAAGCTGCAGACTGAACTCTGTGTCTATCTTATCGTCACCTGGAGATACATGAAGAAATTACTGAGTGAATCCATCAGAAAATGTTTCAACACATCCTCCACCCAAATACATGTAAAGTCTTGCTATAAATACTAGTCGACATAAGAACTGAAGTTAATGACTATATATAAAAGTCAAATATTTATAAAGCCTTGAAAATAAAATTATTCATGGATTGTGCAACACTTTGTCAGATTACAACCACAAAGTTCAACGACTTGCTTCCCCTGATACGAAAAAACATCAACATATTTGCAAAAAACATCTGGGTATTTATTTTAAGCAGTGTGACTGGTTTCAGAAGTAGTTGAGACCCAAATGGAAGAACAAAAATGTGCAAAAAGACGTTTTGGATAACAGGTTTCCTTTAAAGTTTATGGTTGTATCAGGACAAAATGTGAATAAATGCAAAAATGAATTATTTCAAAGGCTCAATAAGTTTTCCAGAAGATTTTTAAAGAAAACCATCAACTCTTAGTGAGATAAATGATAACTAGGGCATCCTCACCCACAGCTGAGAGATTGGGCAAGACAAAGGTGTTGACGACCTCCTGAGGCAACAGGAAACTTTGCTTCTTCTTCTCCTCAGTCATCATGTCTGGCGTCATCAGAAGACCCAGGAACTTGAGGAGTTGTTGCTTTTCACTCGCTGACATGGATTTGTTCCTGATTGTGTCCTGCAAACACCTGCATAGCAGACTCCTACCACTCGCAACATTTACTTTATCATCTTTAGGTTCTCCTTCATTTTTTCCTCCCAGCTGAGCTTTGAGTCCAGGCAGCTGCTGCAGGATCTTGGCCATCAGGGAGAATGCTCCCTTGTTGAAAATGGCTGAGTGGCAGCAGGACTTTAACGTTGCCTCTGGGTTCTGAAAGGCCACTCTCGCCACCAACGAGACGGCAGTGGTCAGGTTGCCTTGCGACACTGATGCTGAGGCTCCGCCCCCTCCTTGGATGATGCAGTTGAAGGCCATGTTGAGCTCCTGTTGGAAGCCATCTGCTACAGGGTAGGGGACAGGCTGCTTGAAGAAGCCCCTGCTGGATAACCCCAACATGGCAGCAAGCGTCTGGTTCTTGTCTTCTAAAGAAAGTGCAGAAAAAATATCTGCGGCGATCTTCATCAGCTTCCTGCACTGACTAACATCGGAGTTCTCAGCATGTAGGAGACTCATGAGGGTAGAGGAGAGGCTGAGGAGGGTACGATGCTGCCGGAAAGCAGCTTGATTTTCCTCCAGGCAGGTAACCCAGAGCTCAGGACGAGCCCAGCTTGCCTGGCCTGCAAACAGCTCTGCAAAGCTTTGGTAATCCTGCATGCGGTGAGTGATGATCACTGCAGTTAACTGAGCCTGAATGTCAGGAGTGATTTCCTCAGCAGGAAGGTTCAGGGACTTGAGTAGATCTCTGAGCGTGTTCGTCTCTGCTGCAGTTTCAGGAACTTCATCCAGAGCCGTCAGGACTCTCTGGATGCTCCGTTGTAGCCGGACGGCAGAGAAACATGGAGTCAAAGGGTCGGTGACCACCAGAAGGCCTTTATCTTTCCAAAACTGTACAAGACATACGATGATCTTCAAGGCTTCAGACAGCGTCATCGTGCTGGGCTGAAACGGAGACGGTGACAGAGAGGCACTCAAGTCTTTCTGAGCGTCTCGAATAAGTTCAGCACTGAGGGTCTCAATCTTTCCACTGCAGTTGGTCATTTTACACAAAACGTCCAACTTCTCTGTTACAGGAAGAATGACTTCCTCCATTATGAGGAAGGATGTGTACAGAGCATCAAGAGAAATGCATAGCGACTGAAAACACACATTTGTAGAAGATACCAGATCCATCATGTCTTTCAGCGCATTAAAGAGAACATGCAGGATGTCAGTGTTTGGAGAGGATGCTGTCATTTCTGCAGAGTCCAGCTTCAACCTCTTTGCAGCTTGAGGAGAATCTGAGTTCAGACGGGCAAACTGGTTGGCAAACATTGTCTCCATGGTTTCTTCGGTCTCTGATTTAAGTTTCTCTCTGCCTTTCCACAACTCCCACCAAACTTCCAGAAAAAATCTGACATCTTCTTCTCTGGCGGGATCGCTCCTGACGTGCTCCGTTATCCTTCCCAGCTCCATGGCGATCCGATCTCGGGGAAGAAGGAGGAGGAAACGGGCAAAAATAGGCGCAGCAGCAGTCGACTTCACCAACTCCATCAGAACTGCGTGGTTCATCTCAGGGAGGCTGTTCTGGAGGGAGAAGAACGGATTCTCCCTCCAAGCCTTTTCAACATCCTCCCCAGCTTCTCTGCTCAACAGCTTCAACCACACGACACAAACAATCCTCTTCTTCCAAGTTAAAGCTTGAAGACTGGGTCGACTGTTAGGTTCATCTAGTCCACAGACTTCTTGGAGTGCTAGTAAGATCGGGCGCCCGACACGGCTCCAGTCGGCTTTGGGAAGCGAGGACAGAGACAAGGGGATACACAGCTTCTCCGCCTGCAGGAAAGCCGCCTGGATAATGGCTGAATCTGAAAGAATCAGAAAGTCACAGGAATACTGCATGTTTTAGTTCATTAAGCACGGGCCAGATTTATAACAAAGGCCATTTCTAGTTTCCTTGTAGTTCATCAAACTACAAGGAGACATTCCTAACCCTTTAAGTAGCTCACTACTACATTTTACAAGTCGTTGAAATTCTAAATCTTGATATGAGTTAAACTGATAAAAAACTATAATACAAGAAAATCAACAATCCTCTATCGGTCAGAAGATGCAACAGATTTTGAGTGTTTCTAAACATTTTGAATAAACAGTTCTGGAGTCATTGAACTTTGTTGATGGCATTTCTCTGGCCTCCTCCTCATTTAACGAGAATGATGGATACCTGTCTATCATACCTGCCTGTCTCCCGCTGCATAACTCCATGTTAGTTATCCTTTTTCGAATTATACATTTACTCATTGCATTATTAGCTTTTGTTTACTTATTATGTTATATTCAGCTTTGATACTTACCTCCTTATATTTTCATTTCCCTATTTTATTCATATTAGGAATCATTTAGCATTTATTAATTACATTGTTTTCGGTTAATCGTTTACTCGTTGATTCTGATTTCATCTTATTCTAGTTTAACCATAAATAAACAATCGTCTGGTAGATAATATCTTATTTATGAAGTATAAAGGTAATATTTCTGTACAGCAGACAATAAGCGGACTTCAAAGGGTATGAAAGCAGTGGAAATATGCATTTACCTTTGTTCATAATGAGCGCCATGGCGGCTGAGTGAGGAGAAAAGCAGCCCAGTTAATGAAGGCAGCTTTAGAAACCAGACCAGCGGTTCTGTGTCTCAGAACAATCCAGTTTACTGGTGTCGGCGTGCTGCAGTTGTCCTCATTTTTTTAACAGCATGTCAACATTTCAAGAGTCCAGCGCTTCCGCTTTTTCAACGTATGGCAGCGGTCAGCAGTAGCCACAGCGACGCCTCTGGACAACGCCGGTACTGCGGCTCACACAGCCACGTCGATATATAAAGTTAAAAAAAAAAAATTTACAATCCTCTACTGCAAAAAAATTGTTTTTATTCTCTTAAGCATTTTATAAAGTATTTTGTATTTTTTTTGTCATGCAGTTTTTCTATGATTGTCACGTGATACAAGTGGGGTGGGTGAAGTTTTCATTCTTCAAAAATGAAAGCGAAAGCTTCCTGACAAATGCACAGTTTTACACGGAGAATCAAAGAAGAGATCACCAATGAATAATAGCCATGGGTCTGCTGCTGGGTTTTTTCCTATGCTATTTAATAGCAACTGGTATGTCGTTTAAAGGTGTTTGTGTATTTTGGTAAACATGGAGTCATTTTGTGTGGAGTACCGTGTTATATTAATTCATCATGTATTTTTCCACAGGTGTGCACTGTGTTCATCAGATCCAATGGCTGCCCTGTCAGTTCACAGATGAGCATGTGAGCCGCAATAATGAGGGCCATCTTGAGACTCAGCTCATCCACAGGCAGGCCATGCTGCAGTTTGGTCAAAAAGGAGACTCTCCTGTTAATCCACAGGCCATCACTTTCCTGATCACTGGTAAGTCACTCCCTGCGGCCTGTAAGTCACGGAAATGGAGCTGGAAACTGTTGCATTTCAGGTTTTGTCCCGTCTGGAGTAGGTTCCAAGCTGGACCTGCGGAGGTATCTGGATGGGGTGGAAGCAGAGCAGCTGGAATGTGAGCTGAGAAGGTACAGCACAGAGGGCATGCACATCCACTGGCCCAGCCAGGAAGCGAAGGATTACAACCGGTGGTTCACCTGCACCCTGAAGCAAGACCAGGGCCTGTTCACGGTCACCGGCTTCCTCAGACATCCATCTAACGAACCTCCACCGGGGCAGCAGGACTACAACAGCTGGCCCCCTATCGCTGACACTGAGATCCTGACTACATCTGGTAAACCTCAACAGATGAGAAATACAGTGTTGAAAAAGTATTCTCACCTCTTGAACTTTTTGGAATGACAACAGCAAACCTTAAGTACATTGTAATTAGGGCTGACAAAATTAATCGGATTAATCATGACAAATGAACAAATTTTGTGATGAATTAATTGCTAACTGGAATATACAGAGTCTAAAACAGGCATCTGCTGACATAAAAACAACCTCAGAGCACCAGTTAAGCCAAAACTGCATAAAAATAGATATATTTTGAATTTACGATGAAAAAAGCTTATTTGTCTGTAACGATGTTCAACCCAGAACTCTTAAAGTGACATAGTTCAACTTCTGTAAAAAAAAAAACATCTTCCATTAGACACCTTTTGCTAATCTTATTGCAACTATTAATTGTTTAATCCAAAAAAAAAAAAAATCAACAGATCAGCACTACATTGTGTTGATGTTTACTCAAATAGAAAGGGCTGAGTTTTTCAACACATTGACCTTAGAAGTATGTTTTTTAGCTGCAGGTGCATTCTTTGCTACAAATGATCAAATGTAAAGGGAAGCTGTGTTTTTGCATTTTAGGCAATAAGATATTTTATCATTTAGAAAAGGATTTGAAATATTTGCTCATTCATTTAATCATCAGAAAACTTACTAGCAGAGTGTTTCACTTATCGCAAGACATTTTTTAATTATCAAATTAGAATAAACTCCCATTATATTCCTGAAAAGTGACTTGTTAGTTTGACCTTATTTTATATGCTCAACAAAGACATCTGCACTCAAAATAAGACTAAAATACTTGGTAAGATTTTGTGTTTTTACAATGCAACGGTTTTTCTGTAGACGGATTTTCCCACCTGAGCTGCAGATCTCTGCAGCTCCTCCAGAGTTACCTATTGGCTGCTGCTCTGATTAACGCTCATCGTGCCCAGCCTATCAATTTTTAAAATCTGTTGCCTTTTCCTTCCATTTCAGTAATATAGTAATATAACACGACAGTATATGTCGCCATATTGCATACGATTCCAATAAATCACATTAAAATGTATCAAACGTTAGAGGGGATGTAAAACCTTTGAAGTTACGAGGATCTCATAACCGAATAACGGTGTTCTCCACCCTAGTCACTCTTCACATATTGATGTATGGTTAACTTTGTCCTACAGTTGCCATGATTACCAAAACACAGACTCCCTCTGTGAAAGCCACCCTTGGTTCTCAGCAGAGGCTCCACTGCCAGTTCGCCGTCGATCACCGGGGAGCAAACATCACGGTGGAGTGGCACTGGCAGCAGCGTGGAGAGAGGACCAAACTCTTCAGCCACTGCAGCCGGACGGGGCAGATCCAGGGCTCCGGAGTGGGGAAAAAGGCCCTCGCTGGAGGAGATGCCACCTACACACTGCCCTTCGCCAAGATGAGCAGTGAAGGGACATACATTTGCTCTGTGCTTGTAAATCCGCTGTTTGGGAATCAGGACGTAGTGCTGCATATCGAAGGTGAGAGAGGGAGCTTGTCGGTCAGGTCAGTAAATAATGTAAAAGTAAAATAGTTTTAATAATAAATTCCAACAAAAAAATGGGGATTGAATATTAAAAATAATAATTTTTTTATTCACAGTTATTAAAACCCCTTAACCTGCAGTGGAACACCCGCATACCGTTTTTCATTGCATTTTCCAGGGGTGAGGTTAAGGGATTTAACCAGGCAATTAATTACATCCAGTTTGGAAACCCAAACAGTTCTCTCCTGGGCGATATGCTCTATCTCAGGAGTTATAAATAATCCTCCCAGCATAATCCAGGCTGTCCTCGCTGTGGGATGAATACCTTCAAAGTGATTCACATTGGAGGAATCCTGTCCAGCAGAACCACCTAAACTGACTCCTTCTGATGCAGAGGAGTCGCAGCTCTGTCCCAAGTTATCTCTGGATGACAAGGCTCACATCATCCACATTATTTCAGCCATTTCTCATGACTGAAGGCAAAGGTCAGAGTCTGCATGGCCTGGAAAATTAAAAGCTTTGCTTTTTTGCTCAGCTTTTTTCCCCACATGGCAAACTGGAGTCTGTCTTTCCATCTCTCTCTCCACTCTACCATCACTGTTAAGGTACTGAAACTCCGTTGAGTTTGAGACAAAGATTGACCTGGAGGGAATGGTCAGATGTTTCAAATTCAAACAGAGCTGAGAATGAGCAAAATTATGCAAAATTTGTATTTTGCATGTTTTTATGCTTCCATTTGGGTCTCAAACTGTTTCTAAAACCAGCCCACATACTTAAAATGTGGGCAGTTTTAATTAGACAAATAGTGTCTTTTAATACATCAGTTGTAGACCTTTGGTTTACATTAGTTAACACAGACTTGAATACATGTCGTACTGCATACATGCTTAAATTTTTCTACTGTCATATGTGTGTTTGTGAACACATTTTAAGGAAGAAAGTATTTTAGGCTGTTCCAAGAAACCTTTAATTATTTCTCATAACTGATCGAAAATCTATTTGCTCCATTTGCTAAACACTAAGCAGTTTTTTTAAAAGAATCATTCTATAGTTATCCTGTATGTCATCAGTTTTCCCATTCAAAACTTTCATCCTTTTAGAGCCTCCCCGTGTCTCCCTGAACGTGAACCCTGTTCTATCTGTGCTGGCCGGCACTGAACACAAGATTATCTGCGAGGCAGAGAACTACTACCCTCTGGACGTGGAGATAAAGTGGTACGAGCAGGACCCGGCGGCGTCGGGTCAGCGCGTCGGGGCCCCTCTTCCCAAGATGCTGCAGAACATCCTGCTGTCCAGCCATAAGCACAACCGGGACATGACCTACTCCTTGATGGGCTTCTTCTACCTCAAGGCTTCGCTCGAGGCTTCTGGGAGACAGTTCACGTGCATCGTCTCCCATAAGTCGCTAAAAATGCCCATCAAGAAAAGCTTCATCCTGCAAGTTGAAGGTTAGAGTTCACCTTCTCTGCAGAACCACTGTCCACCACTGGATGGCAGCAGAGGGTCATGTCTGTGGTTTGTTCTTTCTGTTCAGAGCCGACCAACTGGACCTTTTACCTCATGGTTTTCTTCATCTTGGCCTTTCTGCTCGTTGTTCTGGTTGTGATGCTGTCTGCCCTGCACACAGGTAACCAGTCACTTTAAAATGATAAGAAGATAAGGCCTATGTGAATTTATTATCTAAATAAGACTTGCATTTTTTCCCCACAGCAATGAAAAAGTCTAAGCAGGTAAAGTTACACTGAATCTGAATTATTTTTGAGTCAATTTCCAATTTCAGTGTAAAATGTAGGAACAACTTGATAAGTGTGTTTGTGTGTTTTTTAAATCTTTGTGTGTTTTGAGCAGGATAAACCATACTGAGCAGCGATGGATCATGACGAGAATTAACACAACCAGCCTGGACTTTCTGACTCCTTCGTCCATGTGCATTTTATGATGATCATGGTGATTTGGACTTATGTGAAGCTTCTGCTTTCTACATTGCACTGACTAATGGAATTTTAAGAATGATAATTCCTGGATATGAAAACTTGACAAACTAAATATTTGACAATTTAATGTGTCTCTTGCTACTAATTGAGGTGTGGAGACCCAGCATGTTTCTGAGTAATTATTGAAGAAGTTGTATTTATTACCAGAGCTACAATTCCATGGAAAGGTTTTCACCTCCTTTGACTTTTTCACCCCCTCAGTTTGCAGCGGTACAGTCAATATTTCATGCTATTTCCAGGGTTTGATGGTATAAAGCAATTCAAAGAAGTGAATAAATCTCAAGAGGGAAAATGATGCAAGCCATGGTTTGCCAAATTTTCACAAATAAAAATTATAAAGTGTACCGTCCATTTATATGTCTGCCTTCTGAGTGAATATTTTGTGGAATCACCTTTAGATGATGCACTTACAGCTTCAAATCTGTCCAAACCAAAGCATTTGCCTATTCTTCTGTTAAATAGTTCAAGTTCAGGCAGATTGGATGGAGAACATCTGTGA